TCCAACCTAAACGATTCTATGATTCTATGATTCTAAGACGGGTGGAACTCCCCTAGGGAGCTCTTTAGATGCAGAGAGGGGAGAACTCACCTACTGAAGGCCACTTGCATACCCAGATCAAGAGAGCACAATTCCTCCAGGTATTAATCCTGGGAAATCCCTTTGCTGAGGGTCATCCCAGCTCTTTTCACACGACATGACTGAAGCAAGTCTGGAGTCCAAGCTTTGGGCTGGTGTACCTCTCAGCTTGCCTTTACATTTAAACACGTGGACAACTACCTATTTCAGCTTGAGGCAGCAATTACCACAGTGAGTAGCAGCTTGTCAGAGAGCCTCTCAGTAACCCCTGGCAGTATGACCAATCCCCCTGCTCTGCTGCAATGACAAACGCAGTAGTTCAAGCCACTGTGCCATCCCATCAGACAGTGCTGTCATTTGGGAGATAGTGTGGTCCTTGTCACTTCCCATCTCTGGGCAACACCCACATGTAGGGACATGTCACCTCCACTCCAGTGCAGATTCACACAGAGTGACTTAAACTACTGCCTAGATCTGAGCAATAAAGATGGCAAAGATCTAATGAGCCAGTGAATCTCTTTCCTAACAGCAATGCAGGTGGAGATAAGATAACAGAGATTGGTTTTGATTATTGGAGAAGGCTAAAGACAAGAGAAGAGATTCCTGTGAAGAAGCTCCAGTCTCTGCTCTCAGAGGAAATTTTCAGGAACAGAAACAGTGAGTACCTCTGGGCTCAGGGCTCAGTCCCAGGACTGCTGATGTCTTCTGCAAAATGATCCATGAAGCATGCAGCAACACACTGGCCTCCACAGCACTCTGATGGTAAAAGCTCCCTATTCTCTCTTCCAGGTGGTTTCTTTCACAGTCAACTGATCCAGAAGAACCTGATTGACTATTTCGTCCCTTTCCTTCCTCTCGAATATAAGCATGTGAGAGAGTGTGTCCGGGAGGAGCTGCGCATGCAAGGACATCCTGAGGATGAAGACCTCATCACAGAGATTGCCTTGGCAATGATTGACTACCCCAGTGAAGAAAGACTCTACTCCAGCAAAGGCTGCAAGACTGTAGCCTCCAGAGTGACTCTGAGCACCTAGGCACTACAAGGCCAAATGCCACGTCTTCTGGTTACAAGACCACAGCAGATGGAAGAACCAACAACTGCCTTTCCTCTCCCTGCAGCTCAATCTACACACTCTTCCTTGATGGGATTCAGGCTGTCCCCTACCAGAGGCACCTTTTGTAGAGCTCTTGAATAAACACACAGGACATGGCAACAATTGTGGTACAGAGTAAGCAGAAGAGGGACATACATAGGTGATGAGGTTTGCTCTCCTTGCCACAGAAACACTCCCAAATGAGTATTTTGAAGAGCGAGATCTCCCACTTTTGTGGCAAGACTGTTTGCACCTTAAGTCCTAGCGTTGCCCTAATTAATAAAATCTATTAATAAATAACATTCTCAGAATCAGTCTGTTTCATACTGGCTGTCACCTGCGTATCTGACAGAAATCACACAGGAGATCAGCACCACTGTTCCTGCTTTACAGCATGGACAAAGGAGGAGACTGAATTTTCCAGATTGTCC